TTTTTTTTTTTTTTTGTTTGCTCACATGATTTCTTCTGAACTTAAAACACAGCTGTTTGCTTTTTCAATGTGGCCATGAATTCATCATCCATCGTTTTCTTTTGATTTTTATTTATTTTTTTCCTTTTCAGTTAATTAATAAAGCTCTGTTCAATGTTTCCTCGCCCACAGATCACATTATTTATTAACTGCAACAGCCAGTTTCTATGATCAAGTCGCCATGGCCTTCGACAGCTCGAGATCCGTAAGGTTCGTTTTTGTTTTTGTTTTGTTTTTTTTTTTTTATCAATTTTTTCAGTTTCATATTGCATCAGATTTTTTTTGGCCCATCTTTGTAATCAACAGATTTCGTGACGACGACGACGACGGGGAGTATTCGAAATTCTCAATGTCGAACGGGGAAAACATAATCAAAGTGAAGTACAAGATCGACGGGACAAGGCTGGCGGAGTCGAGCCCCGAAAAATCGAACCAAAAGGCGGCGGGAAAATCGTTAAAAGCCAAAGTACTGTCCCGAGTTTTCTCCGAGGATTACGAGAGAGTAAGGAAGAAGATACTCGACCCTCGAGGGCCGTATGTCCGTAGATGGAACAAGATTTTCTTGGTAGCCTGTATAGTGTCTTTGTTCGTCGACCCTCTATTTTTGTACCTGCCAGTTGTCAAGAAGGAAATGTGCATAGACATAGGCCTCACTCTTGAACTTTGCCTCACCGTCGTTAGATCCCTAGCCGACATCTTCTACCTTGTCCAAATTTATATTCGGTTTAGGACAGCTTACGTGGCGCCTTCGTCTCGTGTGTTTGGACGAGGGGAGCTCGTAATAGACTCTTCCAAAATCTCGTCTCGATATTTACGCAAATACTTTTGGCTCGATTTATTAGCTGCACTTCCTCTTCCCCAGGTTTGTAATATTTTGCTTTTCACTGTTGTATTATTCTTAATTCTGTTGTTCTAAATATTTTGCTTTTCATGATGTATTTGTAGATGTTGATTTGGGGGGTGATCCCCAACTTGAAGGGGTCGACAATGACGAACACGAAAAATGTGCTGAGGTTCATTATTATTTTCCAGTATATTCCGAGGCTTTTCCTTATATTTCCGCTTTCTTCGCAAATCGTCAAGGCTACTGGTGTGGTCACAGAGACCGCATGGGCAGGGGCAGCTTATAATTTGATCCTTTACATGTTAGCAAGCCATGTAAGTGATAACAAAACCAATATGTACTCCTTATTAAAATTATTACCTCTAGTAAGGTTTAGCTTGAAGTCTTAATATTGTTTATGGAAAAAAAAAAGTTCTTAGGGGCTTCTTGGTATCTTCTGTCGATTGAGAGGCAAGAAGCTTGCTGGAGGCACGTTTGTAGTCTCGAGAGCCCAATTTGTCAGTACAAATACTTTGATTGCCGTAGAGTTTCAGACAGTGGCAGAAATTCCTGGTTTCAGTCGAGCAACGTCACGAGTAGGTGCAATCCTTATAACACCTTCTATCCATTCGGCATTTATGGGGATGCTGTGACTACCGAGGTCACGTCGGCAAGGTTTTTCAACAAATACTTTTATTGTCTCTGGTGGGGGCTGAAGAACCTTAGGTACACGGCTATCCTTTAATTGGATATCTTACTTAAGTTATGCTTTTTATCATTTGTGATTAATACATTAGACTATGATCATGAATGTGCAGTTCTTTGGGTCAAAATCTTGCGACGAGCACTTATGTAGGGGAAATAAGCTTCGCCATTATAATCGCGACCTTGGGTCTGGTGCTGTTTGCCTTGCTCATAGGGAATATGCAAGTAAGCTTTTTTACGAGTACAAGTTGAAAGAATGACCACAAAATTTGTTCATTGGCTTCAATTTCTATGTTTTTTTTGACAGACGTACCTCCAGTCGACAACGGTTAGGTTAGAAGAATGGAGAATAAGGCGAACAGATACAGAACAGTGGATGCATCATAGGCAGCTACCTCAAGAGCTAAGACAGGCAGTTAGAAAATACGACCAATATAAATGGGTGGCCACGCGAGGAGTTGATGAGGAGGCCCTGCTGAAGGGACTCCCTCTTGATCTAAGGCGGGACATCAAACGCCACCTGTGCTACGATCTCGTCCGACGGGTTAGTCGAAAATCTCGTAGTTGTTAAGTCTGATTCATTGTTTATTAGAATTATTGATGATAGTTTTATGTTGTGGGGGGCAGGTGCCGCTGTTTGACCAGATGGACGAGCGGATGCTGGACGCGATATGCGAGCGGCTGAAGCCGTCCCTGTGCACGCAGGGGACTTGCATAGTGCGTGAGGGGGACCCTGTGAATGAGATGGTCTTCATCATCCGCGGCCATCTCGACTCCTTCACCACAAACGGTGGCCGCACGGGCTTCTTCAACTCGTGCCGCATAGGCCCCGGGGACTTCTGTGGGGAGGAGCTGCTGACATGGGCCCTCGACCCCCGCGGTTCCTTCGTGGCGGGCCTCCCTTCCTCCACCCGCTCCGTGCGTGCTGTCTCCGAGGTCGAGGCATTTGCTCTCCGTGCCGAAGACCTCAAGTTCGTGGCCGCCCAGTTCCGGCGCCTCCACAGCAAACAGCTGAGGCACAAATTCCGGTTCTACTCCCACCAGTGGCGTGCGTGGGCTGCCTGCTTCATCCAGGCCGCCTGGCGCCGTCACCTCCGCCGGAGAGGGGCGGCTGAGCTCCGGGAGCTAGAGACAATGGCGACTGCGGCAGAGGAGACAGGGGAGGGGGATGTGGGGCCCCCGGGATTTGTGCCGAGGCTGGTGGGGAGTAGGAGGGGAGGTGTCGGGGAGTCGTCGTCGTCGGGGAAGATGAAGGCTTTGCGGAAGCCGGTGGAGCCCGATTTCTCGTCGGTGGAGGACGAGTGATAGATTTTACTTGTAAACAGGATGAATCACTACATGGTTTGGCTTTATATTTATCTTCCCTTTTTTTTTTATTTTTTTTACAAAGGGTTGGGTTGGTAT